TCATGAGCAGCAGAACCAGCCTCCGAGGGAAAGGAGGAGGCGGGGGTGGCAGGAAAAGAGAAGGATCATCTATGGAACGAAACAGCCGCCGCGCGGTCTGCAACCACCAGGCGCTACGCGGTAGCGAGCCACCTCCGTGGCCGTCGCAGTCAATCTCAGGGCAGCTCGCGAGGGCTTCCAACTTGCAGCGCACCTGTTTACAAACAAAGGGCCCCCGCAGCCGCCCTCTCCAGCCCTTTCACGTATCCCAGGTGGAAAACAAGGAAGCGGCCGTCTATGGGACTATAATCCGATTCCGGGCTAACCCGCATTGCTTCCTAGTAGCCCCCCCTTTTTTTCCCCACTCCGAGAGATGGAAATCGTGTAGCCCCGCCCACAGCGACGCCCTTCTCATTGTTCCGTAAACCAAGGTGAGCACGCGGCCACGCCCCGAAATCACGCACCGTCCTTGGCCGCTGAAGTCACCGTCGGATGGGAGGGGTGTAAAAAAGGTGTTTCCAGCGTTTCTTACGGCGCTGCGTGTCCGAGGTTATATTCGGCTAGCCATCCATCATCATTGCTTTCATATCGCTTTTCTCAACACGTGAAAAACCCTTATAGCGTCTCTAGAAATTGTATGAAACCTCTTCAGTTGCTCCACGTTTATCGTTTAGCTTTTGGGGGGTTTTTTGTAATAGGACTACACCTGCAAAGTAGGGAGATTATGCCTATTCACACTCAGCTGAAAAAGCAATGGGTTTTGTTTCCAAAATGTCAACTGCTGAAAGCAGTTTATCAAAATAAAAGCTGAGTCGAGCAAAATGCATTTTAATAATGTGGTTCCTCACAGCCATTCAATGAATTTGTAGATTTAGACACTATGCTTTTTTGCATAGTTTGCTTTGTATCTGCTTGAGGGTGACACACCAGTCACAACCACCCCTTATTCAGTGCATGTTAGCAATACTGATTAATTACATGAATATAAATGGGCGCTGAAATGTTGCCATTAAATTTCCTATCTTTCATAAAGATTGTGTTGGGTCTAGAGATACAGTACTAGTGAAATAACTCTTGTCTTTGATGAGAGCCGGGTCCAGAACAGGATAGTATCTCACTCAGAAAATACAATCATAACATTACAAATGTCAGTGGTCTCCACAGCATCCCTGGAAATGCCACTAAAGTACTCCAAGAGAGCACAGGCAACTGACAGCTGTGTGACAGGGCCATGTCCATTACATTACTCTGGCTATGTTTGTGTGACATGTTTACCCATGATTAAATGAATCATGGTTTCCTCAATTATCCCATTTTCTGGAATTGCATGACATGCTGAACTATGCATTAATCAAAAGCATAACTAAAACATGGTTTAATTGTTTGTGTTCAGTGTGTCATGCAAACACAGTCTCTGTCTATTGCATAGTCAATGCAACAAATTGGATAATAGCCAAGGGCATGACTAAGGAAGCTAGAGGGGGAACACTCCCTGTCATACATACACAAGGGGATTCTGATTCTCCCTGTGGGCAATGCTTCCTCACATCCCCCCAAATGGAAGAAAAACAGCTTTGTGTTCCAGTCTGCAGAACAGTCAGAAACAGCTTGGATGGCCACTAATTCAAATCCACGCTGGATTTGAAATAATTTTCCTTTCTCAAAAAGAGGGCGATTTGCACAGATTCAAGGTCACCCCATGAAATGCATCTTGGCCACTATAAGAACAGGTTGAAATACAGTCAGGTCCAGAAATATTGGGACATCGACACAATTCTAACATCTTTGG